CTGGGCATTGAGAACTGTTGCCTCCCGCAGACATGTCTACCCTTCCTGTTCCTCACTGTGCATGTGGACGAAGTCCCTGATTACTGACTCCACAGGGTTCTCTTCTGTGTGGCACTGAGCAGGTTCCTGGTTCCCGCTTTCTCCCAAATGCCAAACGTTCCTTGGTCAGGTGCATGTGTCAAAGTGAGGTGCTCACCAGCTTGTGCTCCCAAACTTTTAAGGCACGACATTCCCACCAAGATGTCAGCAACGGAGCTGGTGGGGTGAAGAGGCATGGGGGATGTGTGCAGGAGGTAACCTTGTTGATGCTTCCTCTGAGGTCTCAGTACTCACTTCCTTGGAGGTCAAGGCGGTAGCCTCTTCCAGAGCAGCCTGTTTCTTCACCAAGATTATGGACATCCTGCTGGTACATGTAAAACAAGGAAGAGAAGGCATCATGGCCTGTGGTGTGCATTGAATGACACTGACAGCGGAGACATGAGAGCTGCAGTGGAATGAGGAGTGGCACTTTCTCAGTTGGTGGGATGTCTTGGCATCAGCACAACAGCAGTCCCAGTCTTCTGAGAGGGCCAGGATTCTCTCCACATAAGGAACCTGATGTCAGACAGCCCTTTCTTTAGTAATTCATTCAGGGGATGAGGGCATCACTGGCCGGGTCAGCATTGATTGCCCAGCCCTAATTGCTCAAAGGGGGCAATTGAGAGTCAACCACATTGCTGTGGGTCTGGAGTCACATGAAGGCCAGACCAGATAAGGATGGCAGTTTCCTTCCCTAAAGGGCATTAGTGAGCCAGATGGGTTTTTCCGACAATTGACAACGGATTTGTGGTCATTGTTAGACTCTTAATTAAGTTTTTAAAATTGAATTCAAATTCCATCATCTGCTGTGACGGGACTCAAAACCAGGTCCCCCGAACATTACCCGGATCCTTGGCTTAATGGCCCAGTGATAATACTGTTAGGCCATCACCTGCCTGCATATGGCCCCTTTCTTTCCTACTGTGGGCTATCTTCTCCGGGAATGAGAGAAAGAGAGGGACTGAGTGACATAATAGTTGGTTGCACAGCCTTTAGTGCTGGTGCATGTGACCTAATGGCATTGAGGTATCCTGGGCAAGTGAGTAGGCAGTGCAGAGGCAATTCAGGAATAGTGGCCTGGGAAGCTGGGGGGAGAAAGTGCACGTGAGGGTAAGTGTTGAAGGCAATAGTGAGAACGGCAGAACAAGAGCCTTGGTAGGAGGTGAGTGCAAAAACAGACATAGAATGAGTGTGAAGTAGCAGATAGAAGTGTGCGGCACTTTTTGTCATTCTGTTCGCTATTCCACCAGACCATGGGGACCGCACTGACTGGGTGCTGACCTCAGACCAGGCTGCCAGGGTCTGGTGTTGTGGATTCCTCTGCTGGTCCCCTTAGGTAGAGGTTGCCCCTTCCTCTGCATGGCACCCCTATAACCAGGACCTCTAAGACCCTACACAAACACAGAATTTGCTGGAAGAGCTCAACAGGTCTGGCAGCATGTGAATAAGAAATAAGAGTTAACGTTTCAGTTACGGCGACCCTTTCTCAGAACAGTAAGACCCTATTGGAGAATCGCAGCGCCATCTTCCCATACTCCAGCATCTTCATACTGGATGGCCATCATCAAGCAGGGCAGCTTCAGAAGGCCAGTGTTTGACTAGGTGCACAGGCATCAGGGTCTTTCAGTGGAAATCTGCAAGTGGTGAGTTCTTCCTGGAATGGCACATGGTAAGATGGGGCTGAATGGAACTTTGTCTTGCAGTGAAAAGCCCTCCAAAAAGCACAATGAAAATCAGCAAAAGAAAATTTTGGAACTCAGCCAAATGTCTTAAATATTTTTGTGACGTGCTCTCCGGATTGCAATTTTTAATAATCTTCCAAAACTTTTCCACAAACACTCCACCCCAACCAATCTAAAGAGGCGGGGAAGCAAGAAGGAATATCAGTGAGATGGGATTTCAGATCAGGAGCATTGATAACACTTTATCTAACCCTTCAACCCACAGAAAACTAGAGACAATGTGCCAAAAAAATTAAATATCCTCTAATGGCTTCTGTATACCAGACATAGTACTCCCTGGGCTAATTCTGCTTTCTGTTAAATAATTCTGCAAAGTATCTAAAGTAAACATTTGATCTGGTTTGTTTTGTTTCTTTTTTAAAGTTTCTTTTTGTCAAAAAGAGGGACACAAACCACGTCATCATTATCAAGTGGCTAAAAATGGAACTTTTTTATTCATTCATGGGATACGGGCGTCACTGTCAAGACCAGCATTTATTACTTGTCTTTAGTTGGCATGCAGGCAGATTTAAGAATCAACCCCATTGCTGTGGGTCTGGAGTCACAGGAAAGGACAGCAGATTTCTTTCCCTAAAAGGAACTAAATGAGTTTTTACAACAATGGACAATAGTTACATGGTCGCCATTAAGTTAACTTTTAACTCTGGATTTCTTTTCACTGAATCCAAATTTTATTGTCTGCCATGATGACATTCAAACCCTTGTTCCCAGAACATTAGCCTAGGGTCCTGGGTTAGTAGTCCAGTGACGTTACCACAGCACCACCACCTCAATTATTTAGTTCTAGATCAGTTTTACAGTTAGACTGCTTCTATGATGACGAGAATTATAAGTCCTAATGTGAAAGAGATCTACTCAATAGAAATGGAGTAGAAGACTTTATCCATCACATTGGAGGACCTACAGTGCCTTTTTCCACCACTATTCTGTCAACAGCCATTTTTGTTAGGGTCTTCACAAAGGCAGTACAGATGGGAACTGACTTACAATATAACAGAGACAGGATGTGAATGTAACTCTGAGGTTCCAAATGGGCAGCCGGTGCAAGATACTTTCTTCGATTATTACCAGTGTATGTTACACAGCATAATCAGCAGTTCTTATACGGGCTCAGGAGAGAGCACACGCTTCGTCACATACCCTGTGAGATCAGGAGAATTTCATGTCCCTAAACCAGCTGGCTGGAGAAGCCTACATGCTTCATCCTGGACCTATGAACTGTCAGTGAGCACCAACATGGTTTGCCAGAATTACTCAAATCAAACGCAATCCTCAAAATAGCTGAACCTCTTGGCAAAGATTCTGCAAACAACTGTGTTCAACGTAGAAGAACTGGTCTTTAAGTAACTGCATACTTTTGTGTTACTCAACAGCCCTGCAAAATCAGTAGATTCCAGAGAGGCACGTGTTATAACTATTGTTGTTTACCATCATCTGATCCTGGACATGGAATTGACCAGTGACACTGCACCCTGATTAAATATGTGACTAGAAATTGTAAAGTTGCAATTATTGTAGGAAAATTATGTTTTTGAAAAAGTAACACCTGACATTTCGTCAGAGCCACTCTCACACTCCGGCAAAAACCCCAATTACCCATAAGAAAAGAGGAGGATTTTAACTTAATTGAGTCTGAGTAATACTTCTACTCCCTTCTGGATGGTGGGTGGAGGCCCTGATTAGAGTGGGAAAAAAATGCGAGGTGCATAGGGTGTATGCCTTTGATGGACAGGAAAACCATAAAGGAGATAACCGCTCATTGAGTGATAGTAGCCTGTGCTACTCAGTTCTTGCCCTGCCCGTACCTTCCTTAGCCATGAGCAAAATAGGAATAGGAGCTCTTAATTAGCTTTGATTCGCTAAGGGTGAATGGGCTATCTAACACCTTCCCCAGCCCAATGCAATATTGGAGATAGGTTGCGGTGGAAAGGCAAGTGGTGAGAACACCACAGAGTCATAGAGCATGGGAACAGACCCTTCAGTTGAAACAGTCTATGCCGAACATAATCCCAAACTAAACTGGTCCCACTTACCCACTCCTGGCCCATATCACTCCAAACTTTTCCTTTGCTTCTACTTTACCAAATGTCTTTTAAACGTTGTAATTGTACCACATCCACCACTTTCTCAGGAAGTTCATTCCACACAAGAACCACTCTCGGTGTAAAAAATTTGCCCCGCACATCATTTTTAAATCTCTCTCCTCTCACCTTATAAATGTGCCCTTAGTCTTGAAATTCTCCATCCTAGGGAAAAGACAACTACAATTAACTGTTACTTTGTGAAACCCCATTGTCTTCAAATATGGTGACCTATGATCTAGCCCAGTTTTTCTGTTGCACCTGTTGCAAAGCTAAAACAGCAAATTAACGCTCCAAGTAAAATCCAGGCTGATGACTCCATAGTTGCTCTAGGGCTGATAAACGGATAGACTTGAAGTGTTTTGATGGATGAAGGGTCAGTAAGCAAAAGACATAGATTTAAGGTGACTGGCAAAATAACCAAAGGTAATATGAAGAAAAACATTTCACGAAATAGTGCTTCAGATTTGGAATGCACTGATAGGATGATGGAGACAGATTCAATAGCAGCTTTCAAAAGGAAATTGGATAAATAATTGCAAGCAAAAGAAAAAAAAACACAAAATGATATGGGGAAACAATTACAAATTGGGACTATTTGGATTGCAGTTAGAAGGAGTTGGCGAAAACTCAGCTATTTGAATGACCTTCTGTTCTGTTCTATGATTCTGATCATTATTGATGTAACACTGATGGATGTCATGCATAAGTTTATCACTAGAGTATGCTCTTGTACCTGTAGGAAGTCACATGATTGTGAACATTTTCTATAATGGGGCATATAGAAAAAAAGAGGCTAAACAATGAAACATGAATGAAGCTCCTCTTGTTGTGAAGAACAGGGAATCCCAGACTTTTTTTCCCACTATGAAAAATCCCAAATCATCAAACTGCAAGGCTACGTTTCTACAAATTCCATTAAAAGGAATGTCAAACTTTTCTCCAACAAAATATTAACCAGACAACTGAAAATTGTTGCTCTTCAAAACAGATGTGCTTCAGAAACTGAGGTGCCTACTAATATCCTGGATATCAGTGCTGATTTAAGATCACTATACTCTCAAATATGACAGATTGAATAGTCAATAGCTGATCTTACTTGTGTCCAGACTCATGAGCGATGGTGAAGGCCAGGCCTAATCCTGTGTCTTCATTGATAGTACAGCTGCGATATTTGCTACACATCCCACTGATGGGTGCAAATCCTAGGGAATAAAACAAAGTACAATTTGGAATGAGTACTTCAGTATTCACTTGTATTAATCTCATTCTTTTACTTTCTGAAATCAGAAATGAAAGAGAGTGTAGGATTTATCAGGAAAGCCAATGTTGAAGTCAGTAGCATTTTTGCAAAGATTTCCAGCTGGCTTTCTTTTAAATCTGATTTTATTAATTATACTTGCTTTCTCAGCATTTACTGAATTACCTAAATTGCTGTAGCAGATGCCTAAATCCTTTTCAACTAGGAAGGATCTGTGCTATGTTTCAGAATGCCTTAATGTCCTGTACAGCATAATGTTTATCCCAACTCAAACAACAGAGAAAATGTCCAATTCATAAAATGTCAAAATTTCATATTCATAAATGATTGAAAGTACTGCTTCAGTAACTGAAGCACTGAGTTTTTACAACAGTGTAACATCTAGGTCTTACGTGAGAATTTATTAAGCCTAACGTTGCACAGGTATAATATATGATCATAAATCTATTAATAGTTTTTGTGTAACAGCATTCTGATTCCATGTTTCCAAGCACTCTAGCTTATACAAATATGTAAAATTATTCAGTGCATAAAGTGCACTTCTTGTTTAGAAAGGCATTCAGAGGAGCAGGGAAAATCAGGTTGGGGGTAAATTGGTCTAACACAAGAAGCCCTTTGTGATCTGAAATGAAAATTATTTATTTTGCATGTTCTCACATACATGTTCCATGAGCAGACTGAGAAACTCTTGGTGAGATGAGATGAGATGAGATGACTTACTTTTCAGACATCAAGTGAGCAAAGAACATAAAGTTCAAGGCAACTTCCATTGCGCTCAACCCACTTTGCTCCAAAAGAAGGAAACAAAATAAACCATACTTTTCCATCTTCTTCCCTTTCACAAAATTATTTTGACAATATCTTTCTTTGAAGTTGACTTTTAGTTGGAAAGATTGCATATTAAATATCTGATAACTTTATGCATCACCAACTCTTGCCTCTTGTGCATCCTGAAATACCTTTGCCAATATTCAGCTGCTATGCCGTGTCTAGGTTAGTTCGAGGATTGCAACAGCTTCTTTAAATATATTAAAAGGAATTGACAGCCGAATTGAACACAAGGCCCCGAAAGGCTGAGGGTAGAAAAATATTAATGGGGAACCAGGAAATGGTAGACGAACTGAATAAACACTTTGCATCAGTCTTCAAGGTAGACGATGCCAATAGCATTTCAATAATACGAATAATCAAGGGGCTAAAGGTTGGCAGAGGAGGAAATAAACACAATAACTATCACCAGAGAAAAAAAGTACTTCAGAAACTAATGACGCCAAAGGCTGAAAAGTGCTTTGGACCTGATGGGACGCAATTGAGGATATTAACGGAAGTAGCAACAGAGATAGTGGATGCACTGGTGGTAATCTTCCAAGAATCTTGAGATTTGGGGCAAGTCCCAGACAATTGGAAAACTGCCAATATGACACTCTTTTTCAGAAATGGAGGGAAATCAGGTGACTATAGGCCAGTTATCTTAACATCTGTTAGCTATTGGGAAAATGTTACAGTCTATTATAAAGGATGTAATAGCAGAGCATTTAGAAACACAGAACATAATCAAGCACAGTCAAAATGGCTTTATATTTGACTAAATTTATTAGAATTCTTTGAGTAGGTAACAATCAGGATATATGAAAGAAAAGCAGTAGGTGTAATATTTTTGGTTTTTTAAAAGGCATTTGATAAGGTACTGCACATAAAGTTACTTATTAAGATAAGAACCTGTGGTGTTCAAGATAGTAATATCACCATGAGTAGACGATTGGCAACAATTAGAAGACAGAGTTGAGATAAGGTTTTTGGGATGGCAACCTGCAATTGGTGGAATGCCACAGGGATTAGTGGTCAGGCCACAATCGTTTATAATATATTTTAATTACATAGATGAGGAAAGTCAATGTACTATTGCCAATTTTTCAGATGACAATAATAGATGCAGAGGCAAGTGCTGAGGATGATCCAAAGAGTCTACAGAGGAGTACAGACAGGTCAAGCAAGTGAGCAAAAACTTGAAAGATGCAATATAATGTGGCAAAATGACATTCATGTCGATAGAAGGAATAGAGGGTACAAATATAATTTCAATGAAGAAAACTGCAGCTCAGAGTGATTTTAAGGCCCTTATGCATACATCAGAAACATCTAGCACATAAGGTTAGCAGATCATAGGGAAGGTCACAGAATCTTGGCCTTTATTTCAAAAGGAATGGAGTATAAAAATAGCGAAATTGCACTATAATTATGCAAGGTGCTAGTCAGACCACACATGGAATATTGGGAACAGTTTCAGTCCCCTTATTGAAAGGGGGGGGGAGGGGGGTATCCTGGCATTGGAGGCAGTCCAGAGGAAGTTCTTTGGTAAATGCTATGAAGGGTTTGTTTTATTAAGAAAGGTTAAGTATGTTGAGCCTGCACTTAGACATTAATAAAACTGAGAAGTGACCTTATTGGAAAAGATTCTTAGGAGGTTTGACAGGACAGACACAGAGTGGTGCATGGCAGTGGTTGCTTCTCCCTGTGAGACAGTCTGGGACCAGAGGGCATAATCTCAGAGTAAGTGGTCACTTATTTGAGACAGAGATTAGGAAGAATTTCTTCTCTTGGAGCTTAGTGAGTCTGTGAAATTATTTGCCCCAGGGAACTGCAAATGATGGGTCATTTAGTATATTCAAAGCTGAGATAGACATATTTTTATTCAGTAAGGGAATGAGGGATTATGGGGGAAAAGGCAGAGAAATGAATTTAAGGATTATCAGATCAGCTGTGATCTCATTGATTAGTGGAGCAAACTCAATAGGCTGAATGGTTGACTTCTCCTATGTTTTATTGTCTACACCCAGTACCTGAGAATTCCTTTTCTTATCCACAGCCCTTTCTATTTTACCCTTTTCTTTTAAAGCATTCCCTGAAACACAGCTCTTTTACTATTGTTTTAGCATCTCTTGCCTTGGCTCAGTCTGGTTAAACTTCTGAGAAGGTACTTGGCACATTTTTCTACATTAATCCATTAGATATACATACATTTTTGCTGTTCCCTGGCTGAGCTGACCTGAGCAATAGTGGGATCTAGTCTTTACTTAATGGACAATAATCTTATTAAGTCATTTGCTCACCAATCATAGAATCAGACCCATATTCATTTCATTGATTTCAATCACTCTGCCAGAATGCTATTCATGGAACAAAGGTAAAAATACATTCCAGGAAAGACAATATTTCAAGCTATGACCATGCCAATGCTCACGTATTCTTCTTGAAAATCAACATTGTATGAAAAAGTCCAACTTAATCATTCTGTAAGAATAGCAGATGAGTTTATCATCAGGGAAGAATTCAGACACTGTGAAATCTGAATACATCATGAAATTGTTTAATACGATTGCTCTGCCTTCACATGTGTCCATATAGGAAACAATATCCTTTGTGTGACCCTCAGGAATTCTGCCCTTCTGAAGAAGCTACTTGTGTTACATTTCTTCTCCATTTTCATGCAGACATAAGCCTGATCCTGTTCGGACAAAGTGCCTAAACAAAAAATTGAGGGGATCTAGGGTACAGGTTTCTGCAACTACATTTATGTTTCAGTAATTAGAGCAAAGGACACCAGCAGAAAGATCCAAGTGCCTGAAACTGTTTTGGGTCTGTTTCAAAATAAAATGCCATAGCTTCCCTCTTGTTGTCAGCCTGGCATCATGATTCTTGCACATTATCTGATTTGGTGATTGGACCAGCCACTTGTTCTAGCTTTTGATAGGTACTTCTGTCAGACCCAACATAAAATGAGGTGGGAGTCAATGAATGGCCCCTCCTGTCTCATTAAAAAAAAATGCTGCATCAGTGTCTGCTCTGTGTACAAGTGCGTATCTGTTTGCAGCAAATCCAAGGAAGTCTGAGACAATGCAATGGGGAAGTACCTGATTTACACCCTTTCCATTTTCTATATATCTGCTCAATGCCAATTCAAAGGCACAGAAGAGGGGAACATCTACATTGTACAGTTTCACACATGACTAGCAGTCTTGTACATGCCCTGGGTACTGATGTCATGGTGTTCAGGGACTAATCATTAGGGCCACCAGCAGTTTCCTGCGACACCACAGCCAGGAATTCACAGGGTGTTTTGGTGATCACATAGAATACAATTATCCCCCTAATAGTAACCCTTACATACGTCTTTCTCCTTTGAAACTACAATGAAAATATTTTTGGGGGCAGCTTTAATCAAACCTTCATAATCTCTAACTAAGGAAAACAAAATAAGACAAATCTGTACATGAATATACATTACACCTGTTCGTTCCAGATACAACACCAAGAGTGTAGACAAATGCTAGAATCTATATCTACATTAAAAGATTAACTAGCGCATTTATATGGAAACTTTGTGCACAATTAAATTTGAGGTCCAAAATGAGGAAAAAGTAAGATATTTAATATGGCAAAGATTGAGATGGTTTTAACAATCACATGGGATATGTTTTCTGTTGGGAAACAGAGCATGAAGATCTTTTTCTCCAAGTTTGTGCCAATGTTTTATTACTTTCAACAACCAAAGGAAAATGCAATTCATATTCTAAACACAGTACATATATGGTATTTACATCTTCCTCAACATTCAAGTGACCTTTGTTGATTTCACTGGTGTGATACTTTAATCAGGTTGGATTTTGAAAATTGCTGCCCTCACTCCCCCCACTGCAAGAGTGGTGAAAGCAGGTGAAGATCAATGATTTCAAAAGGGAAACTGGAAAGGTATTTGAAAGAAATAAACTTGTACAGCTTTCATGTTCAATAGAGTGAATAGGACTGACCAGATTTCTCTGCACATCATCAACATCAACTCAATGAGCCAAGCAATCTCCTTCTGTGCTGTAAATAATGTTATGATATGATGCTTGAAATTCAGGTTCAGAATGGAGAGCTATCTGCTCCCTTCAACTGCATTCCTTTATGCCATTTATTAGAAGAACAAAATCTAATTTTAGTTTCAACGAGCACAAGTAAAACATCATTGAGGAATTAACAATAGCCAAGCAGTAGGATCTTAAGCATATTATTAATAACATCTTGTGCGTATAATTATTTTAATCAACCCATTCAGACATGTTATGACATACCTCCACCCCTACCACAAATGACTTAAAACTGTACTGCCTCGCCCAGAATAGGGGCATGATCACTATACCACAAGACTCTATAAAAATCAAGGATACTCAAAGCCAGAATTGTATGAGCACATATATCTCAAGATGGGCTGAAGGAGGTAGTGTACGGCAAGGTCATGGAGGGATTTGAAAACAAGATAAAAGTCAAGGCATTGTTTAACCAAGGGTCAATGTGGGTCAACAAGTCAGGTGGGGGTGGGTGGTGGGGTGTGGTGAAAAATGGGACTTGATGCAAGATTTGTGTTCTACATTTAAAGGTTATGATTGAATGGACTGATGGAGGATGATGAAGCCGAACTAAACTCTTTTACTGCACAGGGCTCAAAATTCATCAGTACCTCTCACAGAAGGTGATCAAAATGGCTTGGTAGGTGTAATACAGGGATATCAATTTAATTTTCTTAACACTATTTGTAACATTGATGTCAGTTAACTGGAAGAAAAGTTTTTTTTTGTTTTCTGAAGAGGAGTTGAAAGACAGGAACAATGACTTCAGAGGCCATCCAGAATATTGGGAATGTTTATCAAGTTGCTCTCTGCCATTAGCAATGACAATACTGTGGCAGAGAATCTTGGCCAAGCTAGGTTTAACCAAGAGCTTCTGATCATAATTATTTCCTTTTATTGATATGTAGTTACATTAATGAGAATACAAAAATATCAGTCACGCATATCAAATGATAAGGACACATATTTTCATAAAACAAAACTGGATAGGGTAGGAGTGGAATGTAAGAAAGTAACACAATTGAAAGACATCATGATTGACAGGAGTGAAGTTTGAGCTATTTCATGAATCATCTGAATGAAAGAAAGACTTTTGGTTACCATTCACTCACCTGTCATGGATTTGTACTTTCTTTCACTACCTGCTACCCTCATTGGTGCTTTGCCTTTCTCACATCTTTGCCAAACCCATTGAAGATAAGACAACTGTGAAAATTGGTTTTGCCATGTAATGTGATGCAACAGTTTGCAGTACACTGAATTCTGCAGGGATTTAGAATCACAAATAATTTCACCTCTCTCTATATTGTGCTAAAGAGACAATTGCTTCATACTTGGCATAGAAAATGTTTTTCATAACTTCAAAACCATTTAATGAGTTCACCTAAAGTATCACAAGGCTCATTCTTCCAAGAACAAATGTCAAGGCCTGTCAGCAGAATGGCATGATCATGACGATTACCATCCTTGCCCACCAATCCCGACTGCCACTGACAGAAGCTGTTCAAAGTACGATCTGCATGGTGGTTTATTAAAAGACCTGGCTGTCAAATAAAAAGGCAAAGGAAAAAGAAATAAGTTCAAAGGATGTCATAAATTGGCCCTTCCATTTTGCTTTATTTAGTGAAATAATCGTGAAAGATCAAATAAGCAAGGATGGTAGGCAACAAGCTGCTTAGACAGTTTCTATGGTACATTAAGTGGTTCAGTGCTTCATGAAAGGATGAATGTGTTGACAATGTTGCGATTTTAAGACCAATGCTGGAATTTGCAAACTATATCCTTACATGAAATTCCTAATGGCAATTGCAAAGATAACAAATTAAGACAAAGTCAAATCAGATACCAGCAGCCAATGCCTACAAGACTGTGGACACATTTTTAACATTCTGCTGGAGAAGTCAAAAGGAAATAAACTTGAGGAATACAGATTCTAACCCTTTTATGAAGAGCACTGTCACTATGATCTAAGAAAATGGAAACATGAGCGTACTTCAACAATAATAACTTAGATTTGTATGGCATCTTTAATACAAAAAGACATCCCATGGAAGATCGCAGGAGCATTATGTAATATGACAATAGCCACATAAGGAGATATATTGCCAGATGACTGAGAGTTTTGTCAAAGAGGTAGGTTACAAGCAGTGCTGTAAATGAAAGAAGTGAGGTAAAGGGGCAGAAAGGTTTGCAGAGAATAATCCAGAGGTTAGTTGCTACGAGAAACTGATGGCATGGCCACCAATGGTGGAACAATTAAAATCAGGGATGCACAAGACACCAGAATTAGGTGAGCACAGATATCTCAAGAGTGCTGTGGGGATGGAGTAAATTATGGAGAGTGTGAGGGGTAAGATCAAGGAGGACGCAAAAGCAAAGATAGGGATTTTAAAATCAAGGCATTCCCTGAGCAGGAGCCACTGTAAGTCAGTACACATGGGTTGATGGGTGAACAGCTGAAAGTTAGGACTGAGAGTTCAGGTATTGGAATGGTCAAGCCCAGAAGCAAAAAAAGACATGAAACGTAGGTCTCAGCAGAAGATTAACTGAAAAAAAAGTGGGGAGGTTCAGCATTGTTACACAGGTGGAAAATAGCATTACTGATAATTTAGAGAAAATATTTTGTACAATTTGACTGTATATATACACATTACAGAACGTCAGCACATCAGTGATTATCTAATTTAATTTGAAATTCATACCTGATCTTCCTCCAGCAGGACAATCCCAACAATTACAATATTTATGTTTCCTCCTATCGTACCATCCTTAAACAGAGTGGACACCTTGAAGGAGGCAAAAAAAATTGCAGTTTTATGTCTGTATCACAAATATATATTTCATTGACAGAATGCTACAAGCACAAGAACAAAATAATGCCTTTTTTAAAGTTTTGATTGAAAGCTAATTGAGTGAAAATCACACTGCACAATGCTCAAGAAACATAAGCCCCTAAGAAATAGGAATGGGATTAGGCCCCTTGAGCCTGCTCTGCCTTTTAATGGAACCATGACTGATCCGACACTTCTCACATCCACTTTTCCATGTTTTCTCCATAACCCCTGATTGTCTTACTGATCAAGAATTGATCCATCTCAGTCAAAAATTGGTGCTCCTTTACTGAAACTATGCCCTCTGGTCCTAGACTCTCCCGTGATGAGAAACATCCTCTCAGCATTTTGCCTGAGAAGCCCCTTAAGAATCCTATATGTTTCAATGAAATCACATTTCATTCTTCGATATTTCAGTGAGTAGAGCTCTAAACTGTTTAGCCTTTGTTCATAAGACAATGACTCCATACCAAGGATCATCCCAGTGAACATTCTCTGAACTGCCTCCGATAAAACAATATTTTGCTTTAAATAAGTAGACAAAAACTGCTCACAGCACTCCAGATGTGGTCTCACCAGCACCTTCTACAGTTGCAGGAAGACTGCTCTACTCTTATACACAAGCCCCTTGAAATACGGGCCAACATTCCATTAGCCTTCCTAATTTATTGCTGCACCTGTGTGCTAGCATTCTGTGTTTCGTGCACAAGTACTCCCAAATCCTTTTGAGTTGCAGCTTTCTGCAGTTATTTTCCATTTAAATAATATTCTGTTCTCCCTTCCAAAATGAACTTCACGTTGTCCCACATTATACTCCATTTGTCAACTTTTTGCCCACTTACTTAACCTATCAATATCACGCTATGAATGGTTTGTATCTCTCTCACAACTTGCTTTCCCACCTATTTTTGTGTCATCTGCAAATTTGTCTACAGTACATTTACTTCCTTCCTCGAAGTCATTAATATATATTGTAAACAGTTGTGGTCCTAACACTGATCCATGTGGAACCCCACTGGTTACAAGTTGTACACCTGAAAAACAACTCCTTATCTCCACTCATTGTTCAAAACGTTTTAGAAGATATCAAGTCAACACTTAAAAACATGCAATAAGTTTAAAACAGAAGTCAAGAGGTCTCCTTAAAAACTGGTCGTCAGCTCTATATCTATTTGGGGAGATCATTTGTCAATACCTGAAAGCTAAAACAAGCATTCCAACTGAAACTGCACTTAAATATATGGAATGTTTGGGTTTTTATTTACAGCATCACAGATTTCTACACCACATCAGATGCAAGGAGTAAATCGTTTGATGTTTCTTGTTTCTCCTCAAAAGGACTTTCAGTACATTAATACCTTCAATTACAGAAGACCTACCACTACTGCAGTTGATGCCACAACTGCAGACATCATGCTATTTTGAATCTCTGATGTTTAAAGTGTTGAAATGTTTTGACTCAAATCACTGAAGTATTTTGCAGGCACTCATCGGATCACACAAGATCTACTTAAGTACAAGGTCAAAAACTCAAAAAAATTCAAACAAAAATTCAAATTGTTCACATACTCAAATGAGGACATTTCGACTCCTAAAATTTAATGATCTGCCAGACAGCTATTCGATCGCAGAAATGTTCTTATAGAGAAGCCAGGTCCTTGAATTTTCTTGTCTCCATTTCTGAGAATACTTATCAATGAATGTTCTCCATAAACTGAGACCCTCACAGATACCTTGACTGTGCTGCCTCATCACCTGCTTCCTATAAGGATTCTGTTCCATTTTCTCTGCCTCAAGAGGAGGTAGAGCGTCTCCAAGGGCATAGAGATGTGCCAAGAGACTGCATTAAAAAGTTGCAAATGAACTGCATTATGGGAAATTATAAACTAGCCCACAGTGAACAGGGAACCTGTATATTATTGAAATGAGAAGAGTTTTCAGAAATAATTAGTACAGAGAGTTCTGAATGTTCTACGTGTGAATCACAAAAAGTTGGTATGCAAATACAACAAGCCATTAGAAAGGCAAATGATGGTTAGCGTTTATTGCAAGAGCAATGAAATATAAAGCAGATAAATTTTACTGCAGCTGTTCGGTTAGGCCACATCTGGAGTTGTGCATGTTTCTGGTCTCCTTATTTGGAAAACAATATAATTGCAGTAGAAACAGTTCAAAGAAAGCTCACTCAACTCATTCCTGGGATGAAGAGCTTATATTATGAAGTAACAAGATTGCGGTAATAGTCATTAGCGATCGCATTGAAACATACAAGATCCTGAGGGGACTGGATAGCGTGTGTACAGGGTGATGCTTCTTCATGATGGAGGGATATGAGACTAGTTTAAGAATAAAAATAGTCTCCCACTTAAAATGGAGAACAGCAGAATTTTTATCTCTCCGAGGGTTGTTAGTCTCTGGAATTCTCCTCCCTAGAGAATGGGGAAGATTGGATCACTGAACTAATTCAAAGCACAATTAGATTTGTTTTGATAAACATGGGAATCAAAAGGTATGAATGGAATATAGCAAAGCAGAGTTCAGACCACGAGCAGACCAGCCACTATCTCATCGAAGATTGGAGCAGACTGAAAGTCTCAAAAGCTGTACTAATTTTTTCCAGAGTCAACTGTCTATGAGAGACTCAGGGATGGAAAAGAATAGACAGATCTCTGTGGCTTCTGCATTCAGGCTTTTTCTTTGCTTATCCTCTGCCCCACCATTGTTAAAAACATTGTAATGCCAGATATTTCATAGATTTGAGAGTCATGACAAATCTCCTGTAATGTTCCTTTTATACCAATAACACAATACTCCTATCAATAGTTTGTTCCCAAAGATCTTCGAATATGAAGGCTGAATACGTTTGAATGATGCCGCACATGCTCAGTTTACTTAAATTGTCCCTACGATGCTGCCAATCACTTATGCACCTCAACTATTTTGTGAAAACTGATAACTATCAGCTGAACCACAAAGCCAAATTCTTTAGGTTGCATGCCTTCAGTCACAGAATTACAAAATAGATGATTATAAAACACCGCTCAAGTACTAATAATCATTAGGTTACCTGAAACTGATAATAACTAACAGACATGCAGTAATGAGCAGAATGAAAAGGAAACTTACCAAAGCTCATTATGCAAAAGGATGCCAAAAATCCCCTTATCTGTTTCAATGGCATCCTTATAGCTTTGACAATGGGAGACTGAAACACTTCATTAGCACAGAATGCCCATATTGTGTTATACTAGTCAGTTGTTACATGACCAAAACTCCCCCTTGTGAAAAGATATAATTGCAAGCTTGTTTGCTGGTGACAGAAGGGAGTAACATCAAGAATGCCTGCAGGATGGAATGCTAACACCGACTCTCTTTAAACTTGCTTTTCAAGCTTGGGCATTAACTGTGTTACAAATTGGAGTATATCACAGGGATAAAGAATTTAAACATAAACAGAACTTCCAGTGCCAATGCATCCACTTTGGAAAAGAACAGATAGTTTCTTTTTAAAGTAGTTTCCAGAAGAACAGCTTACATTGGCCACATCACCACTGGCCTTTAAAACCACCAAATGAAGCCGTAATGTAAAGTTTGTTTACTTATGCATTTTAAAAACTCCACCTCCCCATCCTGTAACTTGCTCTGTTCTGCTGTGTGTGTGTGTGTGTGTGTGTGTGTTTGTGTGTGCGTGCGCGTGTCTGTCTGCATGTCCGTGTCACGAAGGATTCAGGATGGGCTGTTCTCTTTTTAAGTTTTACACATTAACTTAGCGAGTTTACAATAAAAACAAACTCCTTAACTGCAGCAACTCAAGATCTGTCTGCCTTATTTTTTCAAATAGTTTTATACATGATCAAGTACATAGAAAATTGAGAAAACATGAATTTAAGAAATATTCAACACTGTTATGAACAACTTTAAGAATCAAAAGAGAGGAATATAGTCGCCCGTCAGAACTTGGTCAGAGCAAAACGAACAACCCCAATTCACCACGTCTCTGTATCAATCGATATGTGCAACAAATGCAAGGTGAATGGAGAACACCAATATTAAAGCATGCTATTCTCACACTGTCTGAATGCGCCTTGCACGAACGTTACATAGTACTTTTGCCAGTAAACAGGTGGTTGATTGGAATGAAATATATTTATCTTCACAGCCTTACCATATTTAGTATAGTTAATACATAAGTAGTTATGTTCTCGCTGCCATGCTTTTCAATCATCTTCTTGTCCACCACAACTAATGTTTCCACATTAAGCTTTTCATTCTTTTGCATCTTGAACAAGGAACGCTTATTTCTGGATAAGAATCGATACTCATCTGGCAGAATATACATATCTGTTTCTGGGGGTTTTGGCATATCTGCAGAAAAAGAACAGTTAATAAATCATGCAGTGCTTTTGAAAGAATACTTTTTGTGCAGAAAACATATGTTGTAACTGCTCTCTCCAATTAGATAAGAAGTTGCAATAATTCACCCTACCTAGCTAAAATAAAAGTTACGCAGGTCTAAAAACTAAAACTATGATACAGGAGAGGTTTTGAATCAAATTCTCAGAATTTTGTACCTGTTAATTTTTTTCTACGAGTCGTGTTTGAAATATCACATATGCACCAGCCAAAAATCAACTAATATCACTCCTGATCATTTAGAGCTGCTAATCCAGCATTCCCCTTGAAAATGGGATGTGTGAGTTAACTCCTGAATGCCCAGGGAATTTCTTTCAGCCTATTGAGGTTGTATGGGAGATCTGCTGGAATTCTCGGAAAGAAAATCAAATAAATATAAATATCAAGGAAACCTCAAGACGATGTCTCCCCAACTCCCTGTGCTTTGAAATGTTGTTTCACCGCAGTAAATATGGATGAAACAACATACTTAAATAATAAATAGTGTGGCATAAGAATGTGATGCTGAGTTACAAGACAACAAAAAAGTTTGTGATAACAAGGTGTAGAGCTGGATGAACACAGCAGGCCAAGCAGCATCATAGGAGCAGGAAG